TGGTTCACTCCAGCAACTAGAAATTGCCAGCCAAGGCCCAATTCATCTGCCACTTTGTTCAATAACAATAATAAGAAGAAAACAAAACAAAACAGATCTCCCTCAATTTCCTCCCCGACTACGTATGTATACTAACTTCATATACACTGACAGATTCTCTTGGGAATAACTCATGTCATACTTATCACTGAATACTCAACACATAGCACCATAGCTAGCCTGTAGCAGGTCTTAAATATATATTTATTCTAAAGGTGACTTATATTTTCAGAATATGGCCATTGCTACAGAAATACTAAAAGAATGAAGTCTACCATATTTGGCCTTAAACTTGGTTGATCTCAGGGACAGATGAAGATTCTTCAGTGCCCTGGCAACTGTCAAAAGAGAAACAGCAAAGACCTCGGAAAGCAAATGCATGCTCAGGATATCTAGAAACAGCAAGGAGGCCAGTGTGGCTTGTGTTCCTCCTTAGGTGGTGGTGGAGATATCAAACTAAGCTTTTATTCAAACATTTAAGCAACCAACAAAGTTCTAGTGCTTCCATACCTTAAACACCTCTTAGTCTGCCCATGCAGTACTCCATCACTGGGACAGAGGTGTCCTATTCAAAAGGGCTTGCCTCACTCTTGACTTAACTGAGCTGGACCTATACTTGCCCCAGGTTCCTGTGACATTTGGTGGTTCAACCTGTACAATGATAGCCTATGTTTACAGCAGAGGCTTCAGAGTAGACACCTACTATGAAACTGGCACCACCACATACTCTCTGTACATCACCGAGGAAGGACCTCAACCTCCCAGTCTTCCTCACATCCCCCTATACACACCTCACACCCCATGGAAAGGAATCATAATTTCTACCTCAGTATTTCTGTGACAATTCAATCAGCTGATTTGTTTTAAGTTTGCCCAGTACCTGACACAGCGGAGGTTACTGGTCCTAGACAAATTCAAATGCCTTTCAGGTCTTATCTGCCCTGTAGGTATCTCGTGCTTTGCTCTTTCTTTCTGAAATTTACTCAGAGAGTGACATCAGTGAAGACGGTGGAGGTGCAAACTACAAAATTCCGCCCTTCTGTAACAGCAACAAAACTGAAAAAAACTGCCAGAATTCACTTTTTCAGGGTCCTGGGAAGTTACAGAAGGTTTGCGGCAGCCTAAGGAGCATTAAGACATGAGTTATTAAGAATGCTGTGTGTTGTACCATGTCCACTGACCCTAGTCCATTCTTCACTTCAGTTGTGTAGCTATGAAAAAAATAGCCACATTCTTGGTACAAGAAAGAACCAGACAGGTTGTGTTCATGATGAGTTACTTGAGCTGTCTAAATGATGTCTTGGAAGACTGTCACAAAAGGTTTGTCTTTGTTACCTAAGAATTCTTTCAGTGCTAATCTGCCACCAGGGGGGCATTTGCTGGAAACAGACTCAGGTAGATAATTGGGCTCTTGCTACCTGAGAAACTAGGAACTCATTGGGGCAAATGATAGATTAATTAAAAAGCCAAGGAATAAGAGGTCCAGGAGCCTTTAAAATATCCAGCATTTCCCTCGGAATCTAACATCCATGGTATCCAACTCATGCTTAGGAAAGGTCCGCCTTGAGCTCTCACCCCCAGCTACCCTTGATGTTCTGTGCAGGCAGAGGAGGGTGCTGAGACAGGTCAAAGGACAGATCAGAAGGGAAATGAGTAAATATTTTGCAAGTGAATGACGATGAAAATACAGCATGTCAAAACATACCTGCAATCCCAGCACTCAGGAGGCTGAAGCAGGAGACTGCGAGTTTGGGGCAGCCTGAGCTACATAAGGAGACCCTGTCTTAAAATCAAAACAGCTAAAGAAATGTTGGGGAACATTTTATACCACGAATGTACACAGTTCTCCAATCAGTATCTGAGCCTTTTACCTTAAAACTAGAAGAAAAAAAATCAAAATCAAGCAGAAGGCCAGGAATAATAAAAACTAATAGCATAAGTTATTTGTTTTGAGAATTAAAGAAATAGAGCCAGTCATGAAACAAAAGCTAATCCTTTGAGAAGATCAACAAACATGGATAGTCAACAACAAAAACAAGTCGTTACTAAAACTGACCAAGGAAATAAGAGAAGAAAGGTCATGGGTGTGGCTTGGGGTGCTTGCCTAGGCTGTGAGGTCCCGCTCAGCTCCTAGCACTGAAAAATAAATGAAACAAGAGAGAAGGGTCAAGAAACTAATGACAGGAAGGAACTAGGGGGCATTTCTGCTGATGGATGGAATATTCTATAGGTAGATAATAATAACAGCTATACAACATTGTGACTATACTATAACCTGCTACGTATTAATGTAGTCAATTTTATAGCATGAAAGCTATGTCTCAATTACAAACTGCAAAAAGTTAATTATGGTATGAGTTGTGGAAAAGACACTGAGGATAGTTAAAAACAGAGTATAAGATCTTTGACCAACTGTCAAAGCAACTCTCCATGCCCAGATTTCTGCTCTCATATTCTTCTCCACACTGTAATCGAAAATCAGAATTTTAGTTGAAAACATGATTGAATTTTTTAAAAGGAGATGCCTTTCTCTGGCTCCTCTTCCAGATAGTAATTGTCTACCACATTCAAAAGAAGAGCATCAGTCCAGTCACTAGAACTCTCCAGAAAAGCAATCTCTAAGTGAATGCTTATAACCAATCAAATATTTTTGAGCACTTGTATCTAGCCATTACAGAGGGCTGGAGGGGGCTATAAACAAAAGCATTAGCCACATCTTCTGGGTAGCTGTGGTTTCTCTATGTTCATGCCAGGTATCAAGAACCAATATGAAGCTGGAGAGATGGTTCAATGAGTAAGATGACTTGTTGTTCTTGCAGAGAACTGGCCTTAGTTCCCAATACACACATGATGGTTTACTTTAGCTCCAGTTCTAGGGGATCCAGCACCTTTTTCTGACCTCCACAAGTACCAAGTTCACATGATGCACAAACTTATATGCAGGCAAAGCACTCACACATAAAATAAATCTAATTTTAAAGATTAAGATGACAAAATTAATGGTATGTTGGTAATGACATCCAGCAAGAGTGGCAGTATCAGAAGTTCTCTGCTAGCAGTCAGAAGGCCCATGGGTTAACGAGATGACAACCAAACTATCAGTTTTACTAAAACCATTGTCTTCCAGTCACCAAATCTTACTATATAGAGTTTAAAGGGGTGACCAGACTGGCTTCAAACTCACAAGAATCTGCCTGCCTCTGCCTCCCAAGTGCTTGAACTAAAGGCATGCACCCACCACCACCGTCCAGCTAGAAGGTTTTTAAAAACATACGGTTAATAAATTTCAGGAGACATCATAAAGTTAATGTCCTCCTTGAAGTCCAGGTGCTACACAAAAAGGCTTGCTCAGAGTTCCCTGGGAATTAGATCAATTCACCGAGCATAGGTATTTCCCAGCACCCACCTGCTAATAATGTAGTCATGTGTACCACAAAGAGCATACCCTTATATACACATATCTTCTACCCATATGCCTCTCACAAGGCTACTGAATAAGGAGTATCAGAAATATAAAGCCTGACTTATTAAACAGCTATCCTCAGATAGATTCCCCTGGGGAATCCACTTACTCTTTTAATCAAGTAATATAGCATTGTGTTTCTTGGCACTTTAATGCACCAAGGGTAAAAAGCATTATCCGTGTAGTCTGCAAAACCATAGACACAGCAGAATCATTAATTGGCCACAATAGCCTTTCCAAGTGAGCCCAGCTGTGACCTCAGAAAACTTCTTAATAGGCACCAAGCAGCCATGAGCACTGAGTTTGAACTGGAATGGAAAATGAACCCATTTGCAATCCTGGAAAAAAAAACCTAATCTATAGACTTTGAAGTATAAACTTTTAAAATGTCTTTCATTATTTTTTAAAACGTTGACATGTGGATCATTTTAAGGTTTCTAAGTTTAGAGTTGGCATCATTTGGAACAATCTGTCAGTGTGCCAAATAGCTAGAAGATGTGAGTTTATCGTGTGTCACATGATTTCTGTAATCTCAGCAGTCAGTAGACCAAAGCAAGATCACAAGTTCAAAGCCAGCCTGGGCTACATAGGGAGACCTACTCTCATTCCACCCTATTTTCCCCAGCAACTTCTCAAAATGTGTATCTAGTGCTATTATTTCAAGGGATAAACAAGCTAGGGTAGGAAAGAATGTCCAGAAGGGAGGATGGTGATAGAAATGGGAAGGTGGGAAAAAAGCAGAGAGGAGAGAGAAAAGGAAGAGCAGGGAGAGCAGCAGTACACAGAGTGACCCTTCCACAGGGCTGGGGAAAGGAGGGAGCGCCATATTCACCACCCCACTCCCCCAGCACCTACTTAGGATGCTTGAAGGCCATGAGGCACCGCTCGTACTTT